CTCCGGGGGCGCCGGCAGTGAGGCGACCGCCTGGGGCGCAGGCCTGGGACGCAGGGAGGGCAGCCGGGAGGGGCCTCGGCTCTCTGTCCTGGGGGGGACCCCTAAAGGCCACACTGGAGGGGCCACACCCACGGCCAGTGGTGCGCAGCGGCACCTCCCGAGTCCTAGGGCCGCGGCCGGCCGCTGCACGGACACACCCACGTGGACAGCCGCGCTGCCCTCCTGCTGGCCCCGTCCCCACAGCGCTGGGGCCCTCTGGCCCCCGGGGGAGGAGGCACACGCCCGGGGGGACCCCAGAGCGCGGAGCGGGGTGTGCGAGCGGCTCCGGGCTCTGGGGCTCCAGGCTGTGCGCCCCGGGCGGGCTCACCTGGGCGGCTCCTCCTGCCCCGCGCCAGCCGGCAGGTGCTTCCTGTAGGTGGCCTCAAAGACGCTGGCCCGCTGCTCCCACTGGCCGTCCTTGATGAAGTGGTTCTGCCCCGAGCCCAGCCCGTAGCAGCCCCCCACCTTTGCGAAGGCCTCCAGGGGGCTCCTGAATGCGCTGCCTGGGTGAGACCGTCGGGCCCCCTCGACTTCCTGCACGCCCCGCGGCCCGCCGGACCCCACCCTGGGGTCCCCCCGGCCCGCAGCGGCCCCTCAGCCCGGGGGCTCAGGCGTCTCGGGGCCCCCCACCGCTGCCCATGGAGCGCCCACGGGGCAGCGGCTCCCCTTCCTCCGAGCCCCCCGCCCCTCGGCATCGTCACCCCGGTTTCTGGGTTACGGATCCCCGGAGGGATATTCCCGAGTCCCGGGGGCCCCAGCTGCTGGCCGTGGTCTCCGCGGCTCAGCAGGGCCCAGCCTGCCCGCGTCTGTCCAGTCCACTGCTGGGCCTGCGCCGTCAGGGAGGGTCCTGGGGGGCCCCTGCCCGCGGCCTCGCTACCAGCCGCCGGTCTCCCCCTCGGCCGCCTCCCCAATCTCGCTTCCCCGGCGTTCGCTTCCCTTTCGTCTACTCCTAGGCCCACAGCAAACCTGGGTGATTTATTTTCTGGGAGCGCCTGGACCGGCCTGCGCCCCTCCCCGAGCAACCAGTTCCCGGCTCCCGCTCGCTTTGCTAGCAGGAAGCGGCGCCTGGGGTGAGCCTGCCACACCCGGTGGGCCGGGAGCGCCTAGGTCCCCCTGAACTTGCTAGAACCGGGGACTCTCACCCCAGGGGCAGGAAGCTCCCTCCCGGGCTCTGATGCCCCCCCCCCGTGTTGTTTTCAGGACTCTCTGGGGCTCCTTCGTGTCAAAACGGCGCGCCCCTCGTCGTCCCCCGTTAAGGCGCCTGCTCGCAGGACACCCGCGCTGTAGGGCAGGAGGCGGCCACGAGCCCACACCTGCCCGGCGCACGCCTGTCACGTGGGTGCCACGTGGGTGCCACGTGGGGGCGTCCCACCCACCTGTGAGTGGCCTCGGGGGTCTGATCCTCAGGAGGTGAGCCGGCGGCGTCAGCTTGCTGTCTGCGCGCAGACCAGCGTCCGTCTCCTGGGGGGAGGCACCGAGGGAGCCGGCTGGGGCCGCCACGGACCGTGACACACGCTCACCCCAAGGGAGGCCGGGAAAGGGGGGCCGGAGGGAAAGCACGCGGGCAAGCAGGAGGGAGAAGCGGACGGCAGACGGAGCCCCCGGGGCCGGGGCGGGGGTGGGCGAAGGCGCCAATGCAGCCGGAGAAGGGGGGCGCCCTGGAGACGCTGCCCGAGAGAGCGGGGTGCTGCGGCTTGGCGCGTTTCAGAGTAAAGGGCGTGAAGGGCCGGCGGGCGGCCCGAGGCTGCCGCAGCCGCTGGCACGAGTCCCACCCCGGCCAGCAGGGCGCAGCCGAGCCCCGTCTCCCCGCCGGGCCCTCAGCAGCGGGCCTCAGTGGACCCGCCCGTCCGCTCCCCGCTGCCTCAGGGGCCGCTCACCCCGGCCTGAGCTGCGTGCATAACCAAAGCAGGCTTTAACAGCAGGTCACTGGGCGATACACAGCGGCCCCCGAGGGACACAGCTCACACAGCCGGGCAG